CCTTGAAAATTTTGACAATTTCAATTTGGTTTAAAAATTTTTCTGGGCCAGGTTGACAGAATCGAAGAAAAAGTCACCAAAAACCAGCCGCATATCATCAACTTAAAGAAACAGTCCTGCGTATTAAATCCAAATCTTGCCCTTAGTTAGTTTAAAAACAACAAACAAGCAAACCAGAAAGATTTATTAACCTGTAAATTTTCCAACAAACTAGCAAAAAAAGATACCTTTGAACGTCTCTAAAATTGTTTGGATAGATCATCTTTAGGGCTGAAATTGAATATACAGTATACTGCAATTTCTTTGTAATTTAAAGAAACAGTCCTGCGTATTAAATCCAAATCTTTCCTTTAGTTAGTTAAAAAAACAACAAACAAGCAAACCAGAAAGATTTATTAACCTGTAAATTTTCCAACAAATTAGCAAAAAAAAAGATACCTTTGAACGTCTCTAAATTGTTTGGATAGATCATCTTTAGAGCTGAAATTAAACATACAGTACTGCAAATTTTTTGTAATTTTTTTTTTAAATCGAAAAAGCGAAAAAATGAGGAAATTATGTTAGTATTGGCATGCTAGAAAACAAAACTGACGGAATATAACATCACATTGTTGATTTATTTTACTGTACTTCGGGTCTCGCAGTTGACTTTTGTTTAAGAAACCGGAGTTCAGTTATCACAGTTCGCAGCATTTTAAAATTTTACCTATATTACCTAGTTTTCTCCAATTTGGTTAATTTTATGAAAAAACAACAATCATAAAATGATCAGGACTTTCAGAGAGCTTCAAGAATTAAGTGCTTTTTCAGAAGCTGAAAACTTGTGATTTGTTTAAAAAACACGTCAAAATTTTCCTATATTGACTTGTGTTCCTTGACTTTTTTCGAACTGTCTATTCGTCATGTTAATGAAAAAAACTCCAGCTGACAAAATTTTTCTCCACGTTGAAAACTATAAACGCTGTAACTCACCATCGAAAAAATCTTTCTATCTGAAATTGAAAAAAAAAATATTGACACTTGAAAAAAATGTATTGCGGACTTGAACAGTGCAAAAAAAACTATTAAAAGTCTCATTTTGATTTTACTGCGTGTTTTTGTCATGATTGAATTGTTGATTTTTTTGTAAGTGTTTTTAAATTGGCCGTCTAAAATAATAGTGCTGTACTAGTAAGATAACAAAAGTTTTCATTTCATTGCGAGGTCATATTATGCAATAGATGGCAGCACAGTTTTCTATCTCTGAGTCACTAGAATCTTCAAGCTTAATCCAAAATGTATGAGGGTTCTCCTTATAAAACTTTGTGAATTCCGCTCCCAACTACAAGTTAACTTTGTTGGCAAATTAGCCTTTTCGTGGAAATAAATGATCGATGCGGATTTCGCAAAAATGACCGGATTCCGTACTTATAAGTGAACTCAACTGGCACATTTTGCAGATTTTGATTACAAATGGCCGAATCCTCATACAAATTGCGGCTTTCACTTACAGTTGCGGGTTCCTCGACAACGTTATTTTACCATACAGAAAGTTTTTCTGCGGATTTCAAAACGTTTTTTTTTGTGTTTTGGAAACTATGCTGTGGATTTCACAAGTTCGTTTTCGATTTTTTCCAAAAATTTTCCAGCGATATATTGTTTTTGCTCAATCAAAATTCATTTAAAAATAGCAACGTCGCGGATTCCGCAGCGAAACGTTTTTCGACTTGTCTCAAAATCCGCTTACAATTCACAAACTATACTGCATGGTCTTGAAATGTAAGTTTGGAGTCAATTAGTCGCCTTTTCTTCACTAGTGGAGAACTGAAAATGTCACAAGAACCAGACCCAGTTTTTGGACACCGATAGTTTGTTTCTAAGCTTAAATAAATTAAACTAATCTTAACAAAGCAACACAGTAATCGTTTGAATTACCTTAATTTTCTTTTACAGAAGGAGAAAATGTTTATAAACGATATGTTCGTTTTCATTAGCCAGGTTTAGAACCGATACATAAAAACCAAATGTCCTCAATAGTTTTGTCAGAACTCTTTTTTCTCGAAATCGGCAGCACAATTTTGCTCAAACACTGAGTTATATACGGCGTCGCAAATCTTAGGGTAGCTTCACGAAAAACTTGTAACGAAATTGTTAGTCAGCATTAGCTCTTGTTGAGGTTTGATAGGAACACGAAAACAATGTCAGGAATCTGCATAACACACTTGTTCAAGACTTGTGAACATCTCAGGCGTTTTTTTAATTATGGTTTTCCTAAACGTATTTCTCTTCTTGTGGTTATTGCGACTTAAAGCCTTCTTTGAAAAGCAAAGTTCGTTAGAAAAAATGTAAGCCTGTTTGAATTGCCAGTTTGAATTCACCAAAAAAATCACGCTGCAACATGCTTTTAAAATTGTTGCTGGGTTTAATTGTTAAGTTAAGATAGAAAATGAACTTATGAAAGAAAAATAACTAGAAAAGTTTTTTTTTTGCTTTCATATTTCGTTTTATGCTCTTTGAGTTGTAGCCAATTTTGCCTAACAATTAAACGAGTTTGATTATTCTTAAAACAACACTTGAATGGCCGCACAGATTTTTTGGGAAATCATTTACAATAGGAAGACAACAATTCAGAAGTTGGATAATGAAATACGCGCAACCGAGCTGTCAATTTCCTTTGTGGATAATTTCAAACTTCATGGATTCTATATTTATAATTTTTCCATCAGCATTTGAACGAAGTTTTTTTGACATTATTGTCATTTTTGGAATTGTTAAGGATATAATTTTAGACACAGTCTAGATGAAAACAATTAGGTCGAATAAGCCGATTCAAACTTTGAAAATTCTAATATTGAAGGTGTAAAATAGCCAGTATATCTTAAATGATTTCAGAATTTATCTAACTGTGGAAAGATCATTCGTAAAAGCACAAAGATTGAAATTATGGGCTTTACATGTGTTTTTTGCAGAGCTGATGAGCTGAAAAAATGAAAGTTTTTTTTTCCGGCGTCCAAAATAGTATGTTCTCTTAACTCTATAGAAATCATACAGAAACCATTGTTTGGTCCTGCCTCCGACGATAAAAAAAAACATTAAACGGCTTTGAGCGCTGATTTTAGAGAAAACGTTTAAAGAATTGTGATTAAATCTATTATATATTAAAAAGTCGAGAAATCATTCAACAACTGGGGAATAATCAGTACATAATGCAAAATTGTGATCGGTACGAAATCAACAGATGTAACCAAAATTGTGTTTGTACAAACCTGAAATCAATTAATTTTTTTACTTGTAGCAAAAGTTATCGAATAAAATGAAAATTTCAACGCAGGGGATTTACTCCATCTGTAATAATTTTGTAAGGTCATAGTGGTTCGCAAACGGCCATTCTGGCGTTTTGGACTAAATTTTTTGGACATTGCACAAAAATCTCGTACACCCCAGATATCAACGACGACACCAGCTCACAAATACCTAACAATGAATTACGGCCTTGGGTCCACTAGTTTGCTCTATTCTGTTTTCAGTCAAGCAGAAGAACGCAAATTTTTGGCAGCTTTCGCCGTTTTTTTCTGCAACTAAGTAAAAGTCAATGCTAAAAATTGGAAACTTAGCTAAAGAAACTATTTAAAGGAACTATGACTTTTAGAAAGTCGAGTATTTTTGTTTGGCAGACATTGGTTGGCCAGCAATTTTAACCAGCTTCAAATAAATTTCTTGCCGTAGAAAACCGTTAGAAAATTTTTTGAGTATGTTGACTCAAAGAAGTTCTTTGAAAAACCAATGAATTCTTTTGATTTTTGTATGTGAAGAAAGAAGCTCTTTGTCATATTTTGGCACCATTCAAGGTGGAGTGTCGTATTGTTGACATTTGGTAATTGTAGTTAATTGGAGGATTTATTTCGATCAACAGCTCAAAATACTCATTACAATTTGGCGGATCTTCGACGAAGGATCAGATAGCTTTTAAATTTTTTAGATCCATGTTATTAAGAGTTTTGTTTATTATTTTTAAGATTTTTGTATGTTATTTTTACCGTTTCTTGAGAAACTTCAAGTTTTGATGAAACATTTTCAAATGTTTTTAATTAATTAGCTGCTAAAAAGATTTCTGTTTAGATAAAATTAAAAATACCCTCAAAAAAGTTCTTATTAAAGGGTTATTGTTTCAATATTGCAATATAATCAGAATAGACTCAGTTTTTTGCTTGCTAAATTTGCTGGAAATTCTTCAGTTTTTGGGAATTTTTTTAAAGCTAGATAAATTACACTGAGAGTTAAATAAACTCATTTTTATGGTTAGCTTGAATGTAGGTCACCAATTTTTTTAAGTGAATTTAACCATAAAAAGAATTGCTCCAGATTCTCAAGGTTTTATTATCAAAAAATATCCAGAAAAAATGTAAAATAGAGGTTCTTTTCTTTATTTCATTTAAAATAAAACTTCTTAAAAAAAAGAAATTCAGCTACTTTTTTTACCAATACCTGTTCAATAATTGGCTCAACCCGTCAAAGAAAAGTATGCAAAGAAGAAAGTTAAAATCTTTGATTCAATAACTTTATCAGATTAGCAATATGAGTCCATAGTAAACATCATTTTCAAGTCGCAACAGCTAAGAAACACATTGAAATAGAAAAAAAACCAAAGTTTGGACGGCAAGATAAAAAAATTGAAAAGAAATTGCTTCACTCAATCCTATGTTGTATAAAAAAATGAAGTCGATTCAGATTAAATTAAAACAATATAATATAGGAAATTTAGCTGTTTTATTTTGATTTTAGCTAATAATGTTTGGAATTTAGCAATTTACAATTTACAAGGATACACAGGGGAAATTTACGTTTACTTATATACATAACTGGGAAAAAAGTTTTGATTTATTTAATTTCGGACGGCTTTTTTTCAGTTTCAATATCCTATTCAAATCATAAATTATTATTGACAAAAATGCACTTTTTAACAGACTGAAAAGGTAATTTTTGTCATTAAAGGCAAAAAAGTCACAATTTCATGAAAAAAAAAACTGAAAAAAGCCGTATAAAAGTTCTTCGATTGTTTTGACTTTTTATGATTTGACTGTTTTCTAAACGATCTTCCGCTTGTAGGTCGTCAAGTAGATATCATCAATCGAAATTACCCACCAGAATAAGAAAGGTGTTGGCGATGTCAGGATATGAAATATCGAATGGGCATCGTAAACCCATTGGTAAGGCGGTTGCCATTCGAAATACTTCGCAGTTAGAGGACCCACTGCAAAACTCAAATAAGTCATCAGGTATAATTTGGCGTGGGGTACTTTTTTGAGATTGAAAATACACCAAATTAGCCAAAATCCGAACCCTAAAATTGCGATTCCGGTGCAAACTGAAAAATGCAAAGTGTGATCAAATTTGACAAGCTCCATGTACAGAACATCGGCGATGAAACACATTGCTACGAATGAAATTGCTGCGAAGAACAAAATTTTAAACTCGAAGTAAAAATTGCGACAAACGAACCAAAACAAAGGAACAAAAGTTGTGATAAAAGCGCCGTAATAATCCATCCTTTCAAATATAAATAAATCACGAATGTGGAATAAAGTTGAGGATAACCACGTAAAACAATTGATTGTAAAAATAGTATTATAGCACCACTTATAAGGCGAACAAGGGTGTCCGAACTTGCGAAGCCACCAAAACCCGAGACACGAGAACAAAAGCGACACGAATGATGCGATTGACGAGGCGGGTTCGAGCATTCCGAAGTAGCGAATGAGAGGCCATCTTCCAAAAAATTTGGGCACGAGACCTTCTTGATGAACGTAGAGACGGGTAAAATTCCACATACACCTAAAATGAGCTTATATACGTTTTTCTTGCTGGATGTAATTGTTTCTGGTTTGGATGAGCAAAATAAATTTTCTAGAAAAAAGTTGAAGATAATAAAAAGCAAATAAATCCTGGTATGGAAAATCTGAAAAATATTCGCAATCAGGAAAAAATATATATTTTATTGGTTTACTTTTTTCCAGTACGCATGGTAAGTGAAACTGATTCAATTTCTATAGACTTTGGGTGCTTTAGATTTTGTGCAATTTGAGTTTCGAAGTGAGCAGTTTTTGGCTAATTGTTCAACTTTCCGTGATAGCTGTTTTGGGAGAAAAAATTTTTCTTTTCAATTTTTTTTTGCTATTTCATTTCTGACAAAAACATCGCCCCGTCATAATCTGCTACACTTTTCAACTTAAATTCTTCTCTCGTATTATATAATTTATGACCACTTTTAGTCCATATTGTAAATAATCCACACAAAAAGAATTAATTTATGCAAAAAACACTCAATTAGCACATTCTCTGAAAAACATTACCTGTGTTGGCATTCCTCCAGACATGTCCAGCCGAATGCGGAGTCCACCTGTTTCTGGATGTCGGATCTCTTACTCAGCATCCGTTCACACTTCTCACTCGAACTCTCACAGAGGACCAGACAGCGACGGTAGTAGGGATGGCGATCAGCTGGAACGCATGGAAACAACATCAGCAAGTTTTTAGGAAAAAAAATCATTACAAGGCCAAACTGTGCATTTTGTGCATTGTAAGCGGATTCCGCAACAAGGACGCCCCCCTTTGTTTTTATTTTGTTCTTTACTTTCTTTTGATCGTTCCGACAAAACTTTAACATGTGCTCCTATCCAGTGCACAGTTTGGCCTCGTAATGATGCAGTATTTGCGTTTGGGGCGCTTTTAGGCTGCGTTTGAAACTTTATAACCGAATGCAATTTTGGTCAAACCACGCCTAATAATTTTTAGGGCACCTTTGATGCGAAGTTGCGAAGTTGTCAATAATTTTGACGGGCTTGCTTTTTTGGTTGAAATTTTTTTAGAACAATTTTGAGAGTACCGTGAACAATTTTTGTTTTTGTTTGACTAGAAAAGTATTCAACAAAATTTATGAACTTTTTCAAAACTACCAGTGTTTTGAACTATTTCTATAACTCGAATGGAATAGGGGGGGGGCAAGCAAGCCCGGGCGATTGTCTGAACTCTTGTTATTTCACTTAAAGAGGGGAGGGGTTGTAAGGTTCAAGGAGTCAAAACCTTCAAACTAGTCGAAACTTTAAAAATTTTGACGTTTAGTTCAATAATAAAAAAATTGCTGCTTTTGATTGCGTATATGTAATTTCAATAAGTTACTTACCCCATGATGCGTTGCTTTCTTGAATGGTCCAACTAAACGCCAACACCACAAGTGCAATAATTTCTCGCATTCTCAGTAACATAAAATAAGATTAAAATTGAAAACAAATCACGTCGAATTTGGCATAAAATGCTGATCAAACTTTTTCAAAAGCTGAAAAAGCGTTTGTTGATTTTTCGCATCAGATGAATTTGATGTCAAGTTTGACTTTACTGGAGTTTCGGTTTTGACTTCTCAGCACGTGTTTTGTATGTCGTAATCTTGTCAAAGTTCAAGTTCAAACATTAAGTTTTCGATGTTCAAAGGATCCGCGGTATTTACAAAAATGTCATATTCTATTGTTTGATTTTCGGCAACAGAAAAATGCTGTCTCATAAAATCATACAGGGTTTTTATCGGCGCTGGTTATTTATTATAACCAAAAATAAATTTCGTTAGTTATTTGATCCTGAATTTGAAGTAACTGTAGAAAATAGCATCCAAAAAAGTAGATCATTATCAAGGTTTAACCAACGTTTCGGAAAACTGTGATTATGGGAAAAATAATGAAGATAAGTTTATTTTTTTCTCGATCAGAACAAGACCATAAGGTTAAAATGGTTAAATAAATATGTACAAACACCTTTCGAGTTCTTCAATCATATGATTTTTTTTCTGTGGTGCTGCTAAGAACAAATCAGCTAATTTGAACTTGCAAAACAAGCACAAGCGGCTCAAATTTGCAAGTCATGTCTCGTTTTATAAACTTGCAGAAGCAATCTTGCTTAAAACGGTAAGTCATGTATACAAAATGGACCATCTAACCGCAGTATTAACCATATAATCGATATATGATACAGTTTCTTTTAATTTGTGTATATAGTAAACTAACTGCAGTTTTGCAAACAAACTCATTTTTGATTTTCATTTTATCTCAAAAAATCTGTTAGAAAAATTCGATTTTTTCGATTTCTAGAACAAGCAGTTTTGATTAAGAAACACACTTTAAAGTTTTTCAATTTTGAAAAAAAAACACACCCACTTCACACCACACGTGTAATCTGGGACAACTTTGTTTGTTTATACAAAATAAGCGCGAATCAGACTGGCCAAGTTCGTCTAATTGTTCTTTTTCAGTCTCAGTTTTTCTCGAAACTCAGTCGCAAACACCGTATCTTAAGATTCTAATTTTGAACCCAAAGTATTGGAAAACGATTCAAAAAAATTGTTTTTCTTGGTTCCATGGATTATCTTTTTCTAATTTTTTAAAGTAAGAACCATTTTTGATTACTTAATATTTGTTATCCATTAACACGGTCTAATTTGGACACGATTATACGAGATTATTTTTTTTCGATGACAATACCTCCCTTACGGGGCCAAACTGTGCACTGGATAGGCGCACAACCTTGTGTTTGTATGCTCCTGGATTCCAGAGTCAAATCTTTAAACACGTTCCAAAAAGTAAGTGGATTCCACTTACAAAGTTTTCATGGATTCCGCGTACAAATAGCTGTAACGTAAAATTTGTCAGCACATTTGTTTTGTTGCGGGTTTCCGCAACAAGATATATAGCTAGTTGTTCTGGATTCCGCAACTGTGAGTAGATTCCGCAAAATGTAAATGGAATCCGCAAACATAAACGGAATCCGCAAACAAAATGCGGATTCCACTTGCAATATGCGGATCCGACTTACAGTTTGCGCGTTCCGCTTACAATTGCGGATTTCGCCACAGCTCAATTTTACTATACACATGTCTCATTGTTTGTTCATGGATTCCGCAAACTTTTTCCAGATTCCACACATTTTGTTGCGGATTCCGCAATGTTGTCTGTTTTTGGAGCAGTATTGAGCAATACGGTGTTTTAGCTTTTTGTCCGTGGAATCCAAAACAGCAAAGAACATCAAAGAAAACTAGAAGTTATGCGGATTGTGGAAACTAGGAGTTATACTTTTGGTTTTGCGGATCCTTTTTACCATACACAGAATGCATGTCTGGCCTCGCAATATTTGTCAACAAAACTATTAAAATCAATTTTTACCCTCAAATTTTAGATGCACGTGGGCTGAGTATGTATTAACTTGTGTGTATATTATGAAAAAATATCAAAAGCTATCAGGTTGACCTGACTACGAAGAAAAAAAATCAGACAGCTGAAATGTTTTCAAAAAAAAATCCGAATACGGTAAAATTGACCTCGGCAATTTTATATTTGTAATTTTTCACTTTCAAAAATATATTGCAAATATCTAACTTTACAATCTCATTTGAGGTCAGTCTGAAAATTCAAAAAATTGTTCATTTGTTCACTTTCAATCAGTCGAGCATATCTGACACTTATTGGATGTATCTGAATGTTGATTCTATTGACACGTGTACCTGATTACGTGCATTTTTTCCATTGTTTGCGCGCAAAAGTAAATTTAAAATGTTCGAAAAATGGTAAATTGCTGTCTGAACAACCATTTTTTTCACATAATATGAAGTTGGGAGTTTCTCAAATAAATTTTTTTCTTCAAACTGCTTTTGATACAAAAGATTCAGGCCTTTCCCAACCCATTTTTGTAAAAGGGAAAAAAAACAAGGGATAGAGTGGGTTTTTTTTGCTGGAATTTGAGTACCTCGTAGATTTATCTAGGTTTTATTCCACGATGGGTAAGTGCGATCACATTGAAGGCATTTCGATCAATGTTTGGATTCTCAAAACTTTTCGACCAAATAGAGTTTTGTCAAAAGAAAATGTTCTTTTTATACTGTTTGTTAGAAAAAATCGAGTTCATCAAAAATATCATCTTTGTGAATTGAGCCTGGTACTTCTTGCAAGCACACAAAGCATGGTTTAGGGTACTTTAGAAGTTACTTTAATTTCGATCTTTAAAATTGAATTGACTCCACATCAAACGAATCCAGTTTTTTACATCCTAAGTAACTATACGAATAAGTTTGAAAAATCTATTAGTTCAAAAAAAGAATCTATCAAAACAAAAATTGGACCATTGAATTGTTGCATGATAGCTCAAGATATCAAGTTAGTCGGCAATCAGATTTCAGCGATAGCTTAATGAATTTTGCAGCGATAGCTCGAGGAAGTGGTTTTCATTGATTTTTTTCTCATTTCCTACCAGAGTCTCCTACCTGAAATTGGTAAACATTTTTAAGCTCCTAAAGACCCTAAATTTGTGACTATGAAATCATTGAGAATTTTATTCATAAATAAAAAAAATCTTAATCAATTTTGAGAAAAAGCATCAATAAAAAACGAAAAATTGTCAAGCTACTGTTGAGAATAAAACGCACTTTGAGAATATTAAGTCTCTAATGGGTAGAAAAAAGAGGCCGAGTCATTATCAAAAATATTTTGAAACGCGTGCTCATTTGTACAAAGTGTGTTTCGAGCTTCTATAAAAACAAATCGTCACCTCAAACCAGTCATCAAAATATGGCATCAAGTAAATTAACTGGATCCAAAAAATGCGAATAAAGAATTTTTGATCTCTTCTTAGATTGGTAAAAGCCTGATTCGATCGCAGATTGACATCAAATTGCCATCAACAGAGGCTAACAGCGGGAAATCTCGACGTTACTTCCTGTGATTTTCATTAAACTGCTCGAACTGTTTCCCCTCAGAGCGACGATTTAGCCCGGAATTGAACGCGATAGCCCGGAAAATTATACGGAAAGAGACGATGTAAAGCAAAAAAGTGTAAATTAGGGATTTGGGTCAGAAAAAAGGATCGGTGATACCCGGGTGGTGAAATTAGAAGAGGGATTTGCACAATTGGTATCAATAAGGGTCGAGTTGGGGATTGAGGGTATTAGACGACAGTTAAATCTCTTTAAAGCGTAAATTGCAGAAGATTAAGCAAGGAGTTTGAAAATTTTTTCAATCTGAAAGCGAAAAAAATAGATTAAAAACATTCTATCTTAAATTTTTGTGCCATGACCTTGCCAATTGATATAATTTTTTTCTTGTTCTAATGGTTTCTCTAAATTGTATTCAGAGTCATTTTCGAATGTAATGCTAACGGATAAATGCGTTTTTTTTTGCGATAGTACAGCTACTTGTAGGAACAATTTGATGTTTTACACTCGGTTTTAGTTTAACAAAAAATGGAAATGTATCTTGTGAAAACAGAACGAACTTTTAATCATCAATTAGATCATCAGTTCAGTAATTGGATGCTCGGATCAAATTAACAAATGAACTCCACATTATTTTTTTAAGGTGGGGGGGGGGGGCAGGGCTATATTATGCTTAGAAAACTCTTACCATAGCCATTAGAGCAGAGCAGAAATGATATCTTGCTAGAACAAATGAAAAGCCCAACCTTGTACAAGTATAATAAAGGGGAAGGGGCTGATTTTTATGTTTATCCGGATACTATTACCACAGCCACTAGAGCGCAACAGAAAAGATGTAAGAAGGATTGTTAAGAGGATGAACCGATAAATTGGGGGCATTAAGAGATCAACTGTAAGTCAGACAACACTCAGACAAGAGACGCCCGCCCGCCGTTTAACTGATACGAGATGGTTGGCTGAACATTTAACAAGACTGTTGAAATTTTATTGCTAAGGAACTTTTCTATTAAGGAGAGTATGACCGAACGCTCGTATTTTTTCCTGAAAATCTGGTTTCAAAAGCTTATTTTTAGTGTTAATTGATCATATTGTGGAATATATATGAACCGCGTGCAGTATCCTACTTATGGGAACAATAGTGCAAGAATCTTCTTTTTTTTGCCATATTTCTGCTAACTTTTGCACGACCTTAATCAAACGGAACTTCTTGAAAGCAAAATCTGAGCACATACAATTAGTGTTCAAATCAAAAACACTGAATTGCTATCATCGCAAAGAAAAGTTTCAAAACGCATGATTTATGTTTATAAAACATCGAAGACTGCATATTTAAACGTTTTCGCGAATATATGAGGGTTTGTTTTTTGGCGAGGATGGAGATTTATGGATAGTTGTTTGAGCAATTAAACCAACAAATAATAATAAGCCAAAGATGTTAAGAGGATAAAAGTTAAAAATTCAACTTTTGTCAGGGGACAGGGGACAAATAAACTTCCTAAACATTTTTTTTTTAAATAGTCAGAAGAAAACACACGTAATATAAATCATAACAATAATAATCAAGAACATAATAATAATCATAATAACAATCATATAAAAAATCATCGAAATGACCCTAATAATAATCAAAATAATTATCATAATAATCATGAAACTAGTCATAATAATAATCATAATAATCAAGATATTAATAAAAATTATCGTACTAATAAGCATATTCTAAATCATAAAAATCTCAATAATCATAAAAATCATAAAAAATAACGATCACAATCAAAAAAATCATTAAAAAATCAAAATAACGATCATAAACTAAAAATTGTAAATCATAATCACAATAATGATGAAATCTTTAAAATAAAAATCTTTATTAAAATCATATCAAAACTAAAAATCGTATTCATAATAATACGAATCATATTACTCATGATCATGATAAAAATCATGCTAATGATTTTTACAATCATACAATAATCATAATCATAATAATAATCATATGAATTAACACAATAAAAATCAAAATAACAATCATAAAAATCATAATAGTAAGAATCAAAATAATCATCAGAAAAATCATAAGATTAATAATCAAAATCATGATAATCATTTTAACTATAATAAACAAAATAATAATCATAATAATCATATTAATCGTAAAAGTCATAGAAAAAAAATTATTTTAATCATTATAATAATCATGATGATCATAATAATCATGATGAGCATAATAAACATCATGAAAATGATTTTTACCATCATAAAATTTTTTTAAAACCATAATAATAATCATATAAATGAACACAATAAAAAATCAAAACAACTATTCTACATAAATAATCATATTAATCATAAGAGTCATAGTAAAAATATTAAGAAAATCACTTTAATCATTATAATACTTATAAAGCAATTATTCATAAAAATCATGATAAAAAAAAACATACCAATCTTAATCATCATTATAAAAATCATAATCTAGAAAATCGTAATAAACATCGTATTAATTATAAAAATAAGGAAAACCATAATCATAATAATCAAAATCTTAATGACAAAAAAAATCTTAAGAATAATATTAATCATCATGATAATTTTAATAATCATACTATTAATATAATAATCATAAACATTAAAATCATTAAAAAATATGTCGTAATTTTAACATAGGTAGTGATCATATTAATAAAAAAACTGATAACCAGAATCGTCATACTGATCATCCTTATCATAAAAATCAGAACAATCATGATACTTTAATTAGTCGTAATCCTAATCACAATAGTATCAATAATAATCATACTTTTTGCTTCCGCAATTCGCAGAGGATCTATAAAAGGCTATCCAAGCTATCTGAGCATAGTTTGTTTCAAAAAATTCCCCACATTCAAGACTGGGTTGTTCTGTTGAGCAAAAGCCGTTTTTTTGCGTCTCAACGACGTGTGTTTAGCAGATATAAAACTCACGCGGTACCTCTTCTTCAGTCGTAATCGGTCAGTCCGTGGTAGACCTGAAGCTAGAGATCATGCGAGAGCTTATCCTCACTTACAACCATTACCAGGGTAGGGGATCGATTTCACGATCTGTCGATCTCGAAGTTAACACCTTAGCAATATGCCAAGTGCCCTTACTATGCTGAGCGCAATTTTTCCGAAAACCATTTGAAATTTCAATATATCCCCGTAAATTGCCTAGCTGATAAAATTTGTAAGAAAAACACAACATGTGGGTACAATAGTTTAAACTTTTTAAATCTTATTGGACTTAGATCGAAACAATTTTTGTCAATGAAGCATCAAATGAAGTTTCTCAGAAATATTTTTATGTAGAAAACATTCAAACTTAAACAGCATGATGTTAAATGAAATTACTCAAGTAAGTAAAAAATTTCGAGAAATTTGGATTGATTAGAACAATTTAAAATGTGTTTTAGAAATTGCTTAAACATTAAGTCACTCGATGTTACAATGAGGGACAAACTTTTGTACATTCTTTTGTTTATTTTCGTTAATCATACGAGTTTTATGCCAAAATGCTTTGAAAAATCAAAGTGTTTTGATCAGGGGCGGTTTCGACATATTCATGGCCTAATAATTTTCTAAAGGCGCCTTTGGCGCCAAAAGCACTATTTTTGAGGGAGAAGCGCGCTCCGAAAGAAAGCGATTTTTCGGTCAAAAGTTTTCAAAAAGCGCTGAAAAGACATTTTTTTGCCTGTTTTTCCTAAAAGTTAGCATGCGGCGCAGAAAAATTGGTCAAAATTGGGCTTTTATACTGATTTACGAGATCTCAAAAAATCATTTTATTCGATCTAAAAGGGCGATAAAAATATTTGTTTTTTTTTGAAAATCCAACCCCCTCGAAAAAATCCTAGATCCGCGCCTGGTCATGACATTAATTCTGAAAAAACGTTCAACTGATTGTCTACTAGAAAGAAAATGAAAAAGGGTTTCATTCCATGACTTTTTTGCAAATCGTTATCTAGTTAGCATTTTCAATCACTGGAAACAAATCCAGATATTAAAAAAAAAATTGAGAAGAAAAAATATCAATGATAAAATTACTCTAGAGGTCATCTGAGAGCTTTTCCTCGCACACTACCATTACCATGGCAGGAGATCGATTTCACGATCTGCCGATCTCAAAGTTAACATCATAGCACTCTGCTAAGTGCTCTTACTGTGCTCGAAAATCATTTAAAATTTCAATATGTCTTCGTAAGTTGCCTAGCTGATAAAATTTTTAAGAAAAACACATTATGTGGGTAGAATAGTTTTAACTTTTAGCTTTTATGGGACTTAGATCGAAAAAAATTTTGTCAATAAAGCATCAAATGAAGTTTCTCAGAAAATTTTTATGTAGAAAATATTCAAACTTAAACAGCATGATGTTAAATGAAATTATTCAAGCAAGTAAAAAATTTCGAGAAATTTGGATTGATTAGAACAATTTAAAATGTGTTTTAGAAATTGCTTAAGCATTAAGTCACTCGATGTTACAATGAGGGACAAACTTTTGTACATTCTTTTGTTTATTTTCGTTAATCATACGAGTTTTATGCCAAAATGCTTTGAAAAATCAAAGTGTATTGATCAGGGGCGGTTTCGACATATTCATGGCCTAATAATTTTCTAAAGGCGCCTTTGGCGCCAAAAGCACTATTTTTGAGGGAGAAGCGCGCTCCGAAAGAAAGCGATTTTTCGGTCAAAAGTTTTCAAAAAGCGCTGAAAAGACATATTTTTGCCTGTTTTTCCTAAAAGTTAGCATGCGGCGCAGAAAAATTGGTCAAAATTGGGCTTTTATACTGATTTAGGAGATCTCAAAAAATCATTTTATTCGATCTAAAAGGGCGATAAAAATATTTGTTTTTTTTGAAAATCCAACCCCCTCGAAAAAATCCTAGATCCGCGCCTGGTCATGACCTTAATTCTGAAAAAAACGTTCAACTGATTGTCTACGAGAATGAAAATGGAAAAGGGTTTCATTCCATGACTTTTTTGCAAATTGTTATCTAGTTAGCATTTTCAATCACTGGAAACAAATCCAGATATTTAAAAAAAAATTGAGAAGAAAAAATATCAATGATAAAACCACTCCAGAGGTCATCTGAGAGCTTGTCCTCGCACACTACCATTACCATGACAGGAGATCGATTTCACGATCTGCTGATCTCAAAGTTAACATCATAGCACTCTGCTAAGTGCTCTTACTGTGCTCGAAAATTATTTAAAATTTCAATATATATTCATAAGTTGCCTAGCTGATAAAATTTTTAAGAAAAACACATTATGTGGGTAGAATAGTTTTAACTTTTAACTCTTATGGTACTTAGATCGAAAGAAATTTTGTCAATAAAGCATCAAATGAAGTTTCTCA